ATTATCACCGAAGTCACTGTTTTCATCGCAAAAGGTTATGTTATTAATGAAAGCATTATTACCGAATAATATTACCGATAATCCATTGTTATATGATAGTGAAGATATCACTACTAATCAGAAATTAAGAGTTAACAGTAATAGTATTAGTTTTGCTGCAAATGCATTACCGATATTTAATGCCACAAATCCCGTCGAACTCGACTTATATAAACGCATCACTGATGACATGTCGATTGAGTTTACCGCAACCGATATCAATAATTTGAAAATAATATTTATACGTCATTGCGGTCAGTATTACAGGTATATGTTTTTGTGTTTTAAATGTATGACATTTTATTTTAATGTTATCTAAAATCTATTATATATTAATAAATTAATATTTTTTTTATAAATATAAAAGTAAATTTCGATCGATAGTAACGAATGAAGAGAATGAAGATATATATTTGATTATATGTCGATCAATATTAGCTTATGTTTTTGCATCGAAATATCCAAGTATTTGTAATCAATTTGAAAAAACATTTGTAAGTAGATATTTAATAAATAATTTATAAATATATTAATATATATAATTTAAATTTGATTTATAAATTTATTAATTATTAGGAAATGTTTTTTACAATTAATAATAATGAAAAATCTCAAATTAGTAGTATGGATGTCAATATTGAAGATCTCAATAAAACTTTACCCACTAGTAATTATTTTTAGTTATATAAATAGATAATTTAATTTGATTTGCTTTGATTAAATGCATTTATCTATATAATTGTTTAAAATATTTCAGTTAAATGTAACACAAGTGACTTGATTTCAAATTATGACAATTATTTTGAATCTAATAATTACTGTTTGACTCCACCGAATTACTATGATAACAGTCATTTTTCGAAGACAAGTGATCCAATAAAAATGGATTCAAAAGCAATACCACAATCTGAATCTACTGAATACGTAGTTGGAGAGAAATCTAATTTCGGAGAAAAGGTTATCACTAATCAGTTATTTACTTACTATACATTATATATATATATAATAATGTTGTGCATATTATTAAATTTAATGATTATTTTTTGGTTAGAAATTAAGGAAAAGAAAGCGTTTGGTATTGATCTCGAGTTCGTCGTCTTCATCCTCTGAATCGTGTTCTTCAATTATAGAACCAGTGTTGAAAAGACTGGCCATTGAACCGAAAATTGTAAGTCTAATACTAGATAAGTTACTAATGAAGCTATAAATAAATTTTGTTTGTTTATTTATTAAATTATTAGTTAACAAAATCGTTGGATGTCGATTCGACTAATGGATTCGTTAATACTAATCATAATAGTAATTCACAAATCAGTAACATAATTAATATGGAAACCGTTACGTACACTCAACTAAAACTAATGTTTGAAAATCTAAATCACGGCGAATATTACCGATATTTGCCAGATTCTACAACACAGGTGTATTTCATTACTATTTATTTCATTTAAATTAAACTAAACAACTTAAATTATTTAAATCGTAAAGATTAGAGATTTATTTCAAAAACTTGCCAAAACAAAGAGTCAACTAAATAGCTTTCTATCAGAAAATGAGACATTTTTTTCAAGAGTCCTGATTAACGGTAAAGAATTATGGCAACGATTATATACTCATCGAGAAAGTTTGTTTGATATGAAAACAAATGAATATTGCCAAAAACTTTTCAAAATATCAACAAATGGACATAGTATGTTAATAACTAACTAACATTTAATTAATTGATTCAATGATTAATTATTTAATTTTATACTTATAGATTATAGCAAATCAATGGTCGCAATAATATTGTTGGCATCGCTAACGTGTGATATCGGCCGACGTGTTCTATTTGGAATTGGCGAACAATGCTCCGACAATATGCTAATCACCAAAACAACAGAATCGAATAGCATTGCATTTGATTGTCAGCCGTCACCAGTTTTGCCAAATCTCTACTTAGTGGTGTCGCCGTGTACATCGCTTAATGCGATTGAAAATATTCAAGAAAATATTATGTTTAAATGCTTTTTCCAGAATACCTATCTATCGATGTATGACCCGACTTTCTACATCGCTGAGTGCACATCGGTGGCCGAAGCTTTGGCAACAGCTATTATGATTCGCTATACGAACAACAATTATGACTACATCAGCGGCACTAGAAAATTTTGGTTGGCTGTTGAAAAACTATTGTTCAAATGGAATACCGACACTCCAGCCAATTCCACCGATCCGGATCGTCAAAGTGTTAGCCAATTGATTGGCAAATTGAACGTTAAAATTAGATTAGATTAATATATATTGTTTATTATTTCATTTTTTATAATAATTGTTTTATTTTAAAAAACCAATTTTATTATATAATATTAGTTTATGCTATTAATTTGTATACTAAGTTCGAATTTTTTGTGTAATCGTATTTAGCGGTACATAATTCTCTTATGTGACGTCACACGATAATTGCTATACCCATGATATCTAAACAATAAATAACGGTTTTTTGACGTACTTTATGCCTAAATTTTTTGACCAATCAGTCTTACATATATTACGTTTTTTACATAATTATCACGACGTTATTGATGGACGGTTTTTCGATCACGTGACAATCATTCCGAGGATTGGCGCCAAAAAAAGTTTTTCGATCACGTGACCATAGTCGATGTCGTCAATTTGATTGATCACGTGATCACAGTCGATGTCGCCAAACGTAGTGAGTGACGTCAGAATCTAGTGTTTTTTTGGGGTCACAATAAATGGCGGATTGTTATAGAGTTTCGCTTTACCGTAAGTGGAGTCTATGGCAGACTTTTCCCTAGATTTTTTCTAGTGTGATATCTAATAATACAATATTCATGTAGAATATAAAATAAAAATGTATTATTAATATTTTAATTAAGTTTTTTTTATAGATAGAAAAACCAAACAAACAGGTCATTTAACAACAACAACAATAAAAAATTATTATTATTGTAAATTTAAAACAATTTCCATGTTAGAATTTTGCTATACAACAAATTTTGTCTCAAATAAAACAACAAAAAAATAAATAAATAAGTAAAATACTAAAGTTGCAAAGTTTTTCCTCTCATATTATCAATATATTTAAAAAAAAAGTTTTTTTTTTGAGGAAAAATCTACTACTAATATGACTTTGAAAGTTGCAAAAAGCTATTAATTTTTTTTATTTAGTCGTTGTTGTTGTTGTTGTAAACAGTTTGTTGAAAAAATAGACACATTAATCCAATATATTTATGATGAAAATTTATAGGTTAATTTTTCATTTATATAAATATATATATTATAAGTAAATGATTGATTTATTAGTTTAGTGAGTCTCTCTTTATGGTAGTTGAAAATAATATTATTTTTTAAAAAAAATTGTAGACATTTATTTTCACATAAATTTATACAGTGTATATACAGTACAGTATATAATTTATATAACTATTTTCATAGACAAATATTTTATTCATAGGGTAGCAAAAATTTAGAAAATCAAATTTTCCTTGAAATATCTTAATATTTTTATGTGTACTATATATGTGTGTGTATGTATGTATGTGTGTGTGTGTGTGTGTGTGTGTGTGTGTGTGTGTATGTATGTGTGTTTGTATGTATGTATGTATGTGTGTGTGTGTGTGTGTGTGTGTGTGTGTGTGTGTGCGTGCGTGTGTTTCAACAGGTCAAAAATCATATGAAAAATGTAAATTTTAATGCAACGTGTTTTTTCTGAAAATTATTTAGTGGTATATATTTAAATTTATTTATATATATCATATATTGATTTTTAATTTATGAGTATTTAATTAATTGGCACTTTAACTAAATAGCAATCGAGTTCTAATTATAGACTACTGTACAGTATATATATATATATATATATAAATTATAAACAGTATCTCTAGATATAAAAGTTATGCACAACAACGATATAACTCTTATATAACGATATAATAAATACATGTAATAAAATAATTTATACATATTTTTTTAGTTTTATTTATATATGAGATATACAGTATATATCAATTTACAATTAAAAATAGAAAGCTATTTTTAAAACATGTATTTGATGATAGTTTTTTAATTAATTAATTAATTGTATCAAACTAATAATTTTAAACAAATAATAGATACAATAGTATTATAAAAATTATCAAGAAAGTATTTGTGATTAGATTTTACATAATTTTATTTTTAAACAAAAAATTGATTTCTGATAATATTAATGCCCTTACTTTCTATTGATTAAAATATAATTGAAATATATGTCTATTAATAATAACTATATTAATTATTATAGTATAACAACACTAAACAATAACTATATTAAATTATATAAAGAATGTATGAAAATATTTAATTAATTAAAATCTAATATAAAAAACAGTAATTGTAATATCATTATTATAAAAACCTAGAATGTTATATAAAAAAGTTATTTTAAAAATAATAATTTATATGCAAATAATTAGAGTATTTTATTTAATAAATTATATATATATAAAATATTTAATATCATAAAACAAGTATTATATATATATATATTAATAATAATAATAAACATATATAACACTAACAGAATATTCTGTTAATTGTGTGTTTGAGAGTTTAAATTGAGATATATTTATATAATGACATATAATATATAATATATATACTGTATAATAGAGAGTGTGGATCGACAAGAATTAGGCGACAAATTGGATTCAATCGCTTCTGTAGTTTTATAACAACAATACACACACACACACACACACACACACACACACACACACACACACATACATACATACATACATACACACAGTGTGTATGTGTGTTGGGAACCGATCTCTTCGCGGCTAAAGACGTATGCGAATGACGTGTATTGGTTTCTATGGTTTAGACCTCCTTTTACTGCCTCAACAACACATATACTTTGCCATCCATTTCAAAGAATCGCACGATTCGTAATAATAATACTAATAATAAATAAATAAATAAAGCGCTCATATGTTATGTGATATTTCTGGTCATCAAATTTTTGTTGTGTGTGTGTTTGGACATTGACTATCACTAAAGTATCCTTAAAAAAAATTTTAAGACTTTTTAAAAAAAAAATTGTTTGTTAATTATTATATGATTAATAAAAATAATTCAAAGTCTATACTAACTGCATGTAATATGTATGTGTGTCTATGTCTATGTCTATGTGTATATACAACTGTGTGACAATGTTTGGTGAGATCCCAGTCAATGGGCGGCAACATTGAGAGAGCTAATACATACTGAACATTGAAGTGCTGGTTGTGTTTATGTATAAACTCTAACTCTCTCTCTATTTTAATACATACCGTATATCTTGCATTGAAAAAAAAGCATAGCCCGTCATATCGTGTATAATGTATATTCCTAGTGCTGCTGTTATTATTATATCTGCCTGTGCTGTGCTTATGTTGTGCCTGTGTAGTAGTGCATAGTTAGTAGTGTTGGTTGTATATATTGAAGGCACTGGTGGTTGTTTTAATATTACTGGTGGATGTTTCCTAAAATAACTGGTAAGTTATGTTCTATTTTTAAACCGGTCAACAAAAATAGATTTCCCATTTCATTCATACATACATACATACATATATACATACATATATATAGACAATATTATATTTATATATTTATTTATTATATGAGGATAAAGAGGTACATCACTTATGATTACAGGTTTATTAGTGTCGAAACCAAATCAGTCAACAAATTTATTATTATTATTATTGAGATGTTTATTGAAAATGTATAAACATTTTATTCCTCCTCAAAATGTCTTAATTTTCAATAATAATTTTATTTTATATATATTTATTTATTGTGGTTGATGTTGTTGAATAAATACAGTATTAATTATTATTATTATTATTTTGTTGTATTTGATTGCTATATAATTTTTTTTTATATATTAAACATACTCTAATGTTTATACAGTATTTTTATTTTATTTACTAATTCTCTATCAAAAATATTAGTGATATCATTGCCAATGCTGAACATTATTTAATTTTTTTTTATATACACTATTATTTTGAACAATAATTGCTGATTTTTGAACTGTATATGTGTTTTCAATTTTCAATTAATTAATTAATTAATTAATGTTGTTATTATTATTAAAAAATTTCCATCATGGTTGTTTAATAATAATGTTAAATGCAATTTATTATATTACAATGTAAATTATTAATAATGATAATTTAAATTTAAATTACATGCTATTATAACCAGTGTTGGTGTGTGTGTGTGTGTGTTGTAATGTATATTATGTTTATAAAGTCATGCTATTTGAGTGCAATCAAAATAAATATAATGATAATTGTAATAATATTTAGTGAATGTTATAGTTTAATCTTTATGCTGTATATACATTTATATTTCATTTATTATAATGTTATCGTTATCATATATATATATATATATATATATATATATATATATATATATATATATATATATATATATATATATATATAAAGTATATATAAATTATAATAAATACAGTGTCGATGCGTTTATATATGTTGTCCAATAATTAACTGAATTCATATCAAATGTTTTTCTCATAATTTTATCAATTCTCTCTCTCTCTCTCTCTCTCTCTCTCTCTATGTCTGTCTTATCTTTCTCGGTGTTTAAAGTGATAAATAGCTGACAAAACAGTTATTAAATTTATTAGTATATAAATATACTGTATATAAATATAAATATATAAATTTTCTCATATTTTTTTGTTGTTGCAAATTAATTGGGAAAATAGAGAGTTTATTTACAAATATAATATTTTGAAATTTTTGTTTTATTATTATTATTCGTACATATCATGTATAATGAAAGTATAATGAAATCAATTTGCAAAAAAATGTTTAAACAAAAAATATTTTACATGATTTTTGGAGAGAGAAAGATAGCTATTCATTCATGTGGTAAGCATTTCAATACATGTATTTGAATTAAATGTTATGTTTTGATAGGAGTCTTAATATTATTAATATAGTTGAGACACACACACACACACACACACACACACACACACACACACACACACACACACACACACACACACACACACAGTATAAAACAAAAATTGATTTCAATGCAAACTTGTTTACTCATTGTATCTCTAATAATATTATTATTATTAATAATTCACTTTAATTTCAAGTATATTTGCTGTACTTCTCTGTCCTTCATCTATCGTGTATTTTATCAAATATTTTTGAGAGAGAGAGAGAGAGAGAATGTTTACTACTAATCAAAAATCCAAAAAAATTTAAATCTCTTTTAAATCTCATAAATAAATTTTAAATTAATATAAATTTTTAAATTAATAGAAAATTTTATTACTTATATTATATTATAGAAAAATCATAGCTAAAAAAATCTGAAATATAATTTACAAATTTTTAGACCATATTTTTTTAGATAGTCTTATTCACGTAAAAAAAATCAAAGTATAAAATATAAAGATATGATTGGTTATGATTTTTGTTGTTGTGTTGTGTTGTTGTCACTGGCCTTATATATATTGTATATCTATTTATTTCATAAAAATAGCTGCACATATGTGTATGCCTATCAATTGATTATTATTATTATTATTATTATATTTTTATGTATGTATATAACATTTGGTGAGGACAGGTGTTGTCCACTGGGTCTCTCCTTTAATAAAAGAGAGATTTTTGTTTACTCCACACTCAAAAACTCTCAAATATGCTTTCTCTCTCTCTCTCTCTCTCTCTCTCTCTCTCTTTTATTTTTTCCTTTAAAATTATTGAGAAAAAAGGGATATACCTTAAAAGATATAAAAGTATATAGCTCCGTGCACTAGTAGTATATTTATTTATATATATATATATAAACCATACCTAGACTATTATTGTTGTTACTTTTTGTCGCTTTCTATTATAAGTATTACTACACCTACGACTCCCACTGTCTACTACTACTACTACTACAACAACTACTACTACTATTACTGTCACTCACTATTTTTGCATATATGTCATACATGTCGCGGCGGCAATTATAGCCCCTACTATAGCCACCCTGTATTCCACAATATCTCCCGGTGCCAGTAGTGTCCACAATGTCAATGCCTACCTGAAACAAGTATACTCTCCCCTTCCCCCCCCTCCCCAAGTAAATAGCTTTCACTATCCACAAAGAGATCGTTTTTTTTCTAGTGAATCAATAAAATATGTGCCGATAGTTATACTGTAATAGTAATAGCAGCAGTAGTATTGATGGTAATAATATTGGACAATATATATATATATATATATAGGGGACACATACATACATACAGTATACACAAAAATAATTGTCTTGTATTGAACACACAGTATTGCACTACTAATTGCTAGCAAAAAAAAAGAAAGAAAGAAGTTTTGTCTCTATATCTCTGGTGTATATATATATATATATGATATATAAATCGCCTGCAAAAACATTTAAGACAACATATATGGACCCCCAATAAAAATGAAACAACTTTCAAGGAAAACTTTTTCCATACATTTATTGGTTTTTTTTATTAAATAAATTTTATTTCAAAAATTTTAAGGGAAACTATATTTTTGTTGTCTATGTTTTTTTTCTCTGTGTTTAGCAATCTATTAGCAAACAATACCACAGACACACAGAGAAAAAAATTGTTTTCGCAAAAATTTATGAATAATTTTCAAATAAATTCAAAATGTTTAGACAATCTATTAGACTATATGTGGTTATTATTATTATTACTGTTATACAAATACTACTACTAATAATAATAATTTTTATTAGTATTAATATTAATATAACTCACTAACAAACTCATGATAAAAGCATTTTTTTTAAAATATTAAACATTAAAATATCAATAGGTTTAAGTCATTAGTGATGTCATACTAAATAAATTTATTAATTTTTCAATTTGATATTCATGTGAAACTCATTGTGTCATACAGTATGATATTTGCCATATCAGTCAAATTGTAAATAAAAAATATTACTGATTTATATAAAATATAAAATAAATAAATAAATTATAATAATGTTTTGCTAATGAATCAGTTTAGAGTAGTTATCAATTTAATTGATAATAATAGTAATTTATATATATACTACATTGTTTAAATTTAGTATCAGTGTTATTTTTAACTAAAAAAAGAGCTAATTATACCTTATTTATTTTTGTATGTTATAAAAAACCATATATATATATAAATATAGTATATACTATAGTATAAATATATATATATATTAAAATGCCATATTTGATAGAATCATGATTATGTATAAATATAATATTATTTTTCCAAATGTTATTTTTTAAAATTTTATATCAAATATTGCAATTTATTGAATATATTCATAAATAAAATAAACATTTGAGATTATAATAATTTTTGTTTAGAGGTCAACATTTTCAACAACAAAAAAAATATAATGCTAACTATAAAATAAATTTCATCAGGATCATTTATTATTATTATTATTATTAAAATGCACCTATTAATTACCAATCAAATTGACAATTTTTTTGAAATTGTAATCAAAATAATAATAATAATAATATTAATGATCATAATTATATTTCTTAAGCATATAAATTAACAAATTATTATTAGATTTACGATTTCTTAATGATATTAAAAAATAGTGTATACATGATATATAATGGCATATACTATAGACTATAGTATAGAGTATAATAAATAATTATTGGAAAATTTTATACTAATACTGTAAAACAAAAATTAATGACTAGTATTTAGTAAATATTTAATAATCATTGTTATAATTGTTGTTATAATATTTTATATCATGTGCAACTATAAGTTAATAATACTGTATATATATAAAATTTATATACCTTTATTATATTATATATATATATATATATATATATAATATTTATATATTGTATATAAATTATTTTATATATATATATATTGAGTGAGTACTAGGTTTATAACAATATATATATAAATATATATACTGTATATATAAGTTAATTCAATAAAATATGTCAGTAGTGATATTTACTAAATGGCATATACTATACATGTATTGTACAATACTATTAAATTAATATACATTACAGTGTAGTTAAGTTATTGGACACACTATAAATGCATAGCACTAGATGTCAGTGAGCACTTGGATATTGTGTTAAATTGAAAAATTGTACCTGTATATATTATATTATAATAACAGTATATTCTAATATATTTAGTATTGAGTATCAAATTTAAATTAAATTGTACACAATGTGGTATAATATATATATATTAATTAATTAATTATTAAAAAAAATATTTGAAATTATTATTATCAAAATTGATGATGTTGGTATAGCTATATGATGTTTAATAAAATGTTTGTATTCAACAATACTAGAGGGTTTCACTTACTATATATACTAAATTTATTTTACTACATTATTACTTTGTTAGCTAGCTTGTCAAATCTAAATGTGCAGGCTAAAACATTTGTATAAATGTCAACACACGCACATACACATATA